CGTCGTACAGAACAGCCGATCAGCAGCGTGAGACACTTTTATTTTAGAAAAATGAGACACTTTTGTTTTAAAGAAATACCTACTTTTCGCAATATTATATCTTTTAGGTGGCAAGCCTCGCCGCGGCTGTAGAAGTACATTGTTGTACAAAGGTTTTTGCAATTTTCTTATTGTGTTAGAGCGAAACCGTGTTGTAGGATGCCGTGTTGTTGGAGGATTTCCGCAATTTATAAATCGTGTTATAGCGAAACCGTGTTATAAGATGCCGTGTTGTAGGAGGGCTACCTGTACATTTCTATATCCACAGGTACAAAGAGCCTACATTTAATAGTACTCATATAGAATAATATTTAATATAATAGTATATTTAAAATTACTTAATAAATATAGTGAGAAAAAAATCGGTTTTTGATTTTTTTAACTACGGCACACCTTACCGCAAAATATCAAAAAATGAAAGAATAACAGTTGTACCAATATCTAGCTATCACATTAATACAAAAGTAGTGCTCCATCAACTTCAATAGAAAATAACATTTTTTTTATTTTTTATTTTTCACAACCACAATTTGTGATCCAAATATCTGAAAAAATTCTATAATATGCGCTATGTGGACTTCAATTTCAGAATTTTTATGCAAAATTGAATAGAGAAAATAGGCAAAAAATTGGAATTTTGTTTTGTCCTTTTTACTCTTCTCCATAGACGAGACAGGGGATTGAAACTTGGTGTGAGATGCTTTTTTTTCAATGTGCTAACAACTGACGTATTCATTTGGCTTAAAGGCACATTTGACTACTTGATTCGACTAGACTTTTTATTGTACCAAAGATCCAACAGGTAATACTTATGCTAGACACGTGCAATAGAAAATTCATGAACTAATGAAACTACATTCTCTTACACGCTTTGCAATTCCAATCTGTATCAATTCCTTTAAAACAATATATTAAGATCACATGATCAATATCACAACAAAATTTATCAAAGCATAAAACATCACATTGTCACTAAAGTATAGTATTATACGGTAACAAACTTGTAGGATCCTTTTGGAAAATGTATAAGCAATACGATTTGTCGTCAGTTTTGTAGTTCTTCATGACCAAGAAAAACGGTGATTGAAATCTTTTGGGCAAATATAAAAGACTCAATAGCCTCACATTATCAGACACGCATTCAATACTCCACATCCAATACTTCTCTCATAGACTAGACAGAATGACAATATTCACAACTCTGGATCTAGAAAAAGTATATCACCACTCTTAGGTTGCATTAAAAGAGTGGAAAAAGAAACCATAATAACTGCATTTGGTATTTTCAAATATAATGTAATAACCTTTGGCCTAAGAAATGCTGCACAGTCTTTTTAAAGATTTATAAACAACAAGAGATGCTGCACAAAAACAAACCTCTCTAAATAAATGCTTAGAGAGTGTTAAGAAACAGGAGAATGGTCAATCGAATGGATAACTGAAGGGGAGAATTGGTGAATGCACCTTTGCTGGCACATCCCAAAATTAATATATTACTACTTTTAATTACAAATGCTTCTGGCTTAACAAGTGGAGCTGTACTGCATCAAAAAGTTAATGAAACATGGAAACCCCTCAATTCACGTTCAAGGAAGAGTAGTATAGCACCTACAACAGGAAGTTTGCTACTATTTTGAAAGCAATAAAACATTTCAAGCATTTTACCGAAGGATGCTACTTTACTATTTAGTCAAATTACAAACCACTTATGTACAATTTCTTTCAAAGATCTGATAAAGCAGCACTGAGACAACTATGACAAATTCACTACGTTTGACAGTTTATTACAGACATTATGCACATTTCACAATCTTCCAATGAAGTTGGTGATGCTTTGTTGTGGTTGGACATGATCAACATATCAATTGTGTTGAACACCCAGCAACCAGCTAATCAACAAAAAACTGATTCAAAGTTGATTCTATTACTACAAGATAAAATATTGCTGCACCTAAAAAAGTTAAGACTAGATAACACAGAAGAAACTATTTATTGTGAAATTTTGGGTGAACAACATTGACCATATGTGCCAGCAACAATGACAAAACAAATTTTCAACAATATGCATAACCTTTTACATCCCAGTCATTGGACAACAACAACAAACTTGTCTGGCCCAAAATAAATAAGAATATCGTATACTGTGCTAAGACCTGTATTCCTTGACAACATAGCAAAATCACCAAGCATGTAGTAAATTCTAATCAGTCTATGGTTATTTCATAGGAAAAATTTAAACATATGCATATTGACATTTTTAAGTGCTTTATCATCGATAAATACCTAAATATTGTTTTCTGTTGATCGACTTCTTTGGGTGGCCTGAGACAGTCCCAATTAACATCATGTCCGCTAACACAGTGGTCTAACACAATTTTTGTGCTTTTTGGATAATAAGATTTGCATCTCTATCCACAATAACTATGCTTATCACCTGAAGGAACAGTGTTCAAGAATATTAACAACTTAATAGTGCATAAACACATACATACCACAGCATATTATCCAAGCAGTGTAGCAGAAAGATATAACAGATGATATCAATAATGTGCCATGAAAAAAGCAATTGGGTTGCAATTCTTCTAACCGTGTTACACAAATTGAGATGCAATTTCAAAAAGGATGTTGGCCCAATAGCAGTATTTATATATTGAATGCATTTTAAGTAACATCCATCAGTGCTTTCGAGAGACCGGTTAAAACTTGTGTTTATAGAAATTCATAAATTGACTAACCTGCCAAAGATAGATAGAAGGGTAACCTTGTCTTTTTACCGGAACAAGTTTAGCGGGAGCACAGACTAGAAATATAACCAGAGGCGCACTCCCAGTTGGCATTTTTCGTCTTTTGAGCGGGAAATTCAAATCTAATTTCCTATCAATCTCTAGGAATTTGGAATATACTTATAATAAATTTTCGGTATATTACAGTATGCTCTCTGTAAATTTAATTTACTTCTGCGAGTCTTGATTGTAACATTTAAGGAATAAGTACTACATTCTTTGTAGTGTGCCGAACGTAGAAAGAGACAGCGATACAAAAGACAAGGAGGAATAGAGTTTCGAACGTTCGACAAACATGAAAGACTCGTGCGTGTTCTGTCTTTTAAATTTAAAAATCAAAATTCTTTATTTTTGGTTCTTCGTGAATGAAACTTTGTTCGCGAATGAAACTTTGATTATCGTATTCGTCTCATTTTTCTGATTAAAATGGTACCAAACACGATATAATTAAGATCATAATTACTTGTATAGCAAGCTGTTAGGAGGAATTCGTATCTTTACCGTAAATGTAGTTTCCCGCAAGTGTGAAAGCCCGAAATTTTTATGGCTTGTTACATAAGTAATTACCATCGAAATCATATCGTGTTTGTGTCATTTTAATCACAAAAACGAGACAAATACGATGGTAAAAGTTCCATTGACGAAAAACCAAAAATAAAGAACTTTGGTTTTTAAATTTAAAAGATAGAATAAGCCTTTCGTGTTTGCCGAACGCGTCAACTTTCTGCCTCTCTTTCTTTTCCATTCGCCGTCCTCTTTTATGTTAAAAACTTTAATCACTCGTTACACACGCAATTGTTAACGTGATTATATCATGTTTGGTGTCATTTTAATCAGGAAATCTAGACAAATACAACAGTAAAAATTTCATGAAAAAATAATAAGAAATAAAAAAGTTACAATCTTTTTCTTTGCTTGCATTAGTATGTGTCTCACCGATATTCGATCCTTGTCGTTTCGGCGACCGACCGTGTTTCATTCGTGACTGATTTCGAGGGGGATCCCCCAGTAGTGGGGATAGAATTTTAACATTTACGGTAGAGATCTTTTTAACATTTACGGAGAAAATACTGTACTAATATTATCTTTTGAGGTATTTGCATAAATTTGACGACGTTGAAAAATTAGAAAAGAAAAAAATATCGGAAAATTATTACTCTACAAAATATATTTGTAGAAATTAAGTTGGAAGGAATGGTATTCCACTGCTTTGAATTGGATTTTTGCAAAACTCTCTTATTATTCAACAGAAACTTTAACAGTAACAATAACTTAAGGAACAAACTTTACTTGACACTATTTAACAAAAACACAGAATTTTTTAAACGTCTTTTTTGCCTTTATTCCGTCTATTTTCCAAAAACGTCCTACTTTCGCCACCGGCCTCTATTCAACAACGCTCCCTTTTAAAAAAAAACACCAATCAACACCCGCTCGCTTATACAACGTCTTGAAACGAAACGTCGGTAATTCTTATGACAATTTTACGTTTATTACCGACGATTAATTACCGACGTTCGGTCACTTTCTCGTATTTTCTCATTCCCACATTAAAATATATTTGAATAATAAGTATTACGGAAATGATTAGCACAAATAACTTATTAGAAAAAGAAAAACTATACAGGGTCTTCGGCTACAGATGGGCATAAATATAGAGGGTGGTAGCTGGGGTGATTCCGAACAACTTTTTCCTTTACCAAAATGCTGGTTAAAGCTTAGTTTTTGAATTATTAATGAAAAATACTGACCAATTAGAGCGTGAGAATAGCGCGCGCACAGACGCGAGAGCGATAGGTGCAAGCGTGACTCTTGTCGTAAACAAAAAAATCGCGCGACATCGGTAACGTAGTTACCACCGTCTATAATACGTCAGCCGGTAAGTAGTTACAAAATTTACTAACAAGGGACATCACCAAGGTGTCACACGCCGATTTTAATGAAATTGATATATGTTGTAGCTTTTTAAAAATCATTTGACACGTATTTTTTTATATCTGCGGACATCCATGTTGAGGGGGTGAAAATAGCCCTCAAAGTTGGGGGTTGAAAACACATTTTCTTTAATATCTCGGAAACTAGAGGGTGCAGGAAGGTGAATTTTTTTTAAATTGTGTAGTTTTTAGTCAGGAATTTAGTTAGTGACAACAATTTCGGGAGAAATTATTTATTTAAATAATATATTAAAAAATTGCATTTTTTTTTCAATTTTTCACCCTAAATGCAGTTCGATTTTTTTGTAGCTTTGTATACTAAAAATATAGATCACAATAGGGGATACGTGTTTTTGGAATTTTTTGTTTATTGCAATTTAGCAATAATTATTACGTATACAATTTTCTCTTACCTTTTGCGGAGAAATGATTCAAATGATTCAAGATTTGTTTTCGAAGAGGGTGAGCCCTTTTTATACGATAATTTGTCACGTTTTTAACAATTAGACAATATCAAATGTTTATTGTTCCATCGGTAGCCACGGAAGGCCCAGCGGGCAGGTATAAATCCATCGCGGAACCAATCGTCGCTATACGGAACATGGGTTTCTATGGGTTTCAATGAAACTTTTAGCCGAAGGTATACGTTTATTTATTTGACATTATAAGTTTATTTATTTGACTTTTAATAATGAATTTCTTCATTAAATTTCATTATTGTGCACACTATATAGCATAATCTTCAAAAGCAAGCATTCAACTTTAGCTTCATCAATTTTTATTACATTGTTTTTTGTGAATAAATTTGTATCTAAATTCAATAAAATTAAAGGATTAGAAATTTTTCGAACAAAATTTTTTTAATTTCGAAACCTGTTAACGTCAAATGGTTGAATAAACGGTATGGTATTTTTTGGCATTTTTAATATTTCCTGTTTCTTACACTGTTTCTTACCTAGGGATTGATCGTCGTAACTTCTCACTATATCTTGTCTATGAATCAAGAAGCAAAACAGTATTTTCTGGTTCACACGTATCAAAAAAATATTGGCAGGTTTTTATGTAGAAGGTGGTTCCATGTTCTCTTAATTCGCAAAAATAGGCAAGATTTAGAGATAAGTCAAGTCATTAAATAT